TGAAATCGGACGATCAGCATTTGAAGCAGGGGACACATGGAGAAAATATGAGGACCAGACACTGGGGTCCTACGTCCGGTCAATACGACCGGCGCATCCGGTCGCCCCGATTTTCAGTGAACAGAGGAGCCAACGGCTCTATTCGTGGGGGTTCTCTATTTAAGCCCTATGGCCGGCTTAATCTCATCCTCTTGGCGATTTGCATTAACATAGCAACCTTGTGAGCTTAGCCAAAGCCCTCCCACTCATCTCCATCATTGATTCATTATTTTTGTGATATTGCGAGTGAATCTAAGTGTATTGCTTGAGTGTTTGCATCTAGAGGCACTTGGTGTTCGTGTTTCACTGTGGGATTCACTTGTTACTCTTGGTGGTTGCCGCCACCTAGACGGCTTGGAGCAGTGATGATCGTCGAGCGGAGGTTGGTGATTGTCTCAGGCTCTAATCGTGGTGTTTGTGAGGGGTTTTGACCTTTCCCCGACGGAGAGCCAAAATGTACTTTACTAAATTGCTCGTGGCTTGTGTGATCCTCATCTTGTATTGATTGTGCGGCACCCTATTGAGGGTTTGGCGTGTGATGCCAATTAGCGCGTGAACCTCCAAGTGAGTGAATCGCCACAACGAGGAGTAGCTTGCCAGCAAGCAAGTGAACCTTAGTAAAAATCATTGTGTCATCATTTGATTCCGAGGTGATTGGTCTTCATTGGTATTCATTATTGTGATTGATTGGTTCATTCCTCGACTCGGCGGTATAACCATCTTGCTCTCTCTCTCTACATTACCGCAAACTAGTTGTCAAGCTCTTTAGTGTAGCTAATCACGAGAGCTTGTTAGTTTGGTTAGTGTGGCTCTTTAGTTAGCCTTTGAGTGCACACTAACTTAGTGTAGTGACATAGCCATTGTGTGGATAGAGACTATATAAACTAGAATTTGGGTAGTTGGCTTGCATTTTTAGAAGTCTAGCACAACACTCGCTTCGCCTTATATTTGTCTAATCGATTTGCTAAGTGTTGTTGTAGAAATTTTTATATGCTATTTACCCTCTCTAGCCATTAGGACCTTTCAAGCCCCCGACCTAGAGGTTGGACGAGGCGGAGCCCGTGGCCTCGGGGTCGGACGAGGCGGAGCCCGCGGCCTCGGGGTCGAGCGAGACGGAGCCCGACCCTGGCAGAGCCTGCAAACCTGGGAGTCGGTTGAGCTGTAGTCGCGCTCTTAATTACTCGGATGAATCAATGTTGATGGCCATTAACTCCTCATCTTCGAGTATCCTACTATTAGCCCCCGACACTAAACTAGCTTGCTAGCCAGTAAGCTTTGATCGTTTCTGTTTTTTCATTCATCCACCATTTATATTGCCAGCGGTTGCTGAATAGGTCATGCGCTACTCCGAGTGCAGTGTGAATATTCTCGCCGCATTAAGCTATAGTGCTAGTTCCCACGCCATGCGTGCTTCACAGTATACATACTCCTATATACCAAAACACGCGACGACGTATATATCAACTAGTATGGTGGTGTAGTAGACCGTATATATGGTCAAATAAATTCAATTCGCCGGAATACATGTCACACGCATATTCAGATCCATCAATAACCTAACGATCCCGTTCAGAACTTTTTCACCACGTAGTATGCGTACGGTTGGTGTGGTCGGAAACAGCCAAAATGTGCACACCGGCCGATTGGACCAACTGATGAGCGACGAATTGAATACGTACGAGAGAGGCCGCCGTACGTAGCAGCGTGTTGGCGGTGGATGGATCAGCCGGTCTACGGATCGGCTGCAGTCAGTCAGTCAGTACTGACAAAGGAAAAAGAGGTAGGTATATACCCGCGGTTAAGTAGAAGCAGAACGGTTAGTCATCAGCGAGATGAGACCTTAGGGAGGCCGTGCTGTGTCATCGATGTGCAGTGGGCGGGTTGCATTGGCGCTGCAACAGCAAGCCTAGCTCTGTGGTCTGTGCAGTGGGGCAGTGGATGGGTCGGGTACGTTAACGGTTGGACCCCGACCAGGGACCGACCGGCGGCAGGACGTCGCCGTCCCCGGCTGGACCGGGCTTTCCGAGAGAAAAAGCAGGCGCGCACCCACCAAACCACCCTCCCTTCCCCCGTCACCAGTCGCTGCGCCTTAAATGCGAGCGCGCCGCTGCTGCCGCGGGCACCAGAGGCCAGCCAGCCAGCCAGGCCACCACCTCACGTACGCGGGCGGCAGGCCGCGATCTGCCGAGGGCCGATTCCACACCGGCCGCGCCCGCCCGCCTGCCACAGATCCGGAACCGGCACGTACGCTGGTCGGCCGCGCGCGGCCCACCCGGCCACCCCCCGTGAACAGGAACAGCAGCTGCTAGCGTTTTGTTAACAGAAATGCTATACAACATATATGTGTTTTTAAAAAAAAAAAAAATATACATGGATTTTTTTTATCTATGACATTTAGGGCCCAGAGGAATTAAAAGTAGAAGGAAATTGAAGACCGCAGAGAGAGGAGGCGGCCTGACTCTAACAACGCGCGGTGAATGCACGGACAAGTATGTACCAGCGGCCATGGCGGCGGAGATGCCGGTGAAGACGAAGAGAAAGGTGAGGACGAGCTCGGCCAGCACGGCGCGCACGCAGCCGACGTCTGGAATGTCGTCGGGGTCGAATGAATCGACCAGCTTGTTCACGAGCTTCGCCGTGGATGAATGAATTATTGCGAGGAGGAGGAGGAGCCTTGTCGCTCCTTTTGTTGGCGGGAGGGGAAAGCAGGTGCGTGTGGGGTAAAAATCACATGATCTTGTGATTTGTCTTTCCATAGAAAAAATTGTTTCTTGTGATCTGTGGAGGCTGAAGGTAGAAGAAGGGTGGAAGCTGTTGGATCTTAATCCTATGAAAAAAAAATTCATATGTTAAAGCTGCATAAAACACATGATTGTATAGTAGATAGACTCTTCGTTAATTCGCGGCTGGTGGGACACGCTTTTGTTTTCTGGGACGCCGAGGCTACGATGCTCCGCTTTTCAGTTTCCATCCACACGGACCGTTGAGCGCCGCGTGCACAGCACAGCTACGTACGGCCTGCGTTTTTTTGGGGTCGGTTGCCGGTGGACTGGCACGTGCTCACCTCCGCTGATGAGGCGACGAACAACGATCGGTGCACGAGCTGATTGATTCGCGGTAACACGTGACCTATAACTGGTCCGAGGCTTTGCCTCAGGGACCAATGGACACGTATACGGTATGCTGCGTAACTCTGTGTGCACGTACATTCGCCAATACAGTACATGTTGGTCCTGTGTAAAGTCAGACTCGTAGCCATCCATACGGTCGTACCAGCCGCAGTAAAACTGAACCAAACGAGTGCCCCGAAACATTATGGGGTAGGAAATTTCTATCCCAGAATAGAGCACGCACGTACAGGCCGGAACAAAACAGAAAAGAAGAAGAAGAAAAAAAAAAGACGGGCAGCTCAGATTCAGATATGCGTCTCGCGCACTTTTCCATGCTTGTTCGTGCTCGAAATAAATCCGTCGCAGAGAGAATTGGGGGCAGACCAAACAGCCTTAGGTCCCCTGTCACCGTGACCCCTTTTTGATGATTGGATATGCTGCTGCTGCTCCTGCTCTAGCAGTAGCAGTACCCCAGCGGCTCAGCCCTTCCAGAAACGGAGGCCTTTTCCCGATGCCCGACCCCCGACGTGCAGGTGCAGCGCGACGCACCGTCACCGTCTCCGGATTGGAAACGCGGCGGGCCCCGCCGGCCAGACGCCTTGACCGGGGGGCCGGACCCTGCGATGCGACCGCGGCCGGCCCGCCCCCGGGCGGGCGCACATGTTTCTCTCCTCTCGGTCTCGCTCTTCTCGGGCACGGGGACGGGGCCTCCCAGTCCAGGCACCGGCACGCATCCCACGACCGCCACCGGCAGCATCAGCAGCCGTCGGCTCGTGATCAGACGGGGGGACGGGGGCGGCGTCACGCTGGCGTCAGCGGAGAGGTGGCCCCGGCTGCCAGCGGGCCAACGCACGCGCGGGTAGGCCCGGTCAAAGGGGCCACCGCCACGTGTCGGGTGGGAACTTCTGACCGCGGCGCGGCGGTTTGACCCGGGGTGACAGGCTGCCACCTGTAGGGCACCGCTGACTCAGTGACTGATCACCACCGCGCCATTTCTGTTGCTTGTCCTGCTAATCCTGCATTATTACTACTGGTACTGCTCAATGGTCTGGTCTATAGCACTCTAGGCTAGATAGAGAGAGAGAGAGAGAGAGAGAGAGAGAGGGTGAAGTCTAACCCACCGATAATTGTTGTATCTTGCGATGGAAACAAGCGCATAAAGAGGCCGGGAAATGGACATGTCGTTTGGGTCTAATCAATTAGTACTACTAGTAGTTTCTGTCACAAAAGCTGGATCAATTAAATAAGGGCGTGTTTAGTTCGACAAAGTTTGCACGATTCTTGAGTGTAGCATTTCGTTTGTATTTGTGAATTATTGTCTAAACATTGACTAATTAGGCTTAAAAGATTCGTCTCGCAAAGTTAAAGCAAACTGTGCAATTAGTTTTTGATTTCATCTACATTTAATACTCCATGCATATACCATAAATTTAATGTGACAGAAAATCTTCTTTTTATATAGTGCACTTTTGGAGAACTAAACAAAGGCTAAAAGGCCAACCCAAAAGCAGCTGGTAAGAGAGACGAGAGAAAAACAAAAAATCCTCCCACCCAACCATCCATCCATCATCCATCTCTTTCTTTCTTTCTCTCCATCTAGCAGTATATCTGTATGTGCATCATCTTCCTACACACCTAGACTCTTTCGCGCGCGCACACCACGTACACATAAACATGCCCCCATCCCTCTCGTTCCCTTGTCTCACTACGCCCCCACTACCATAAGCCGTATACGCTCGCTCGCTTCCCTGGCCGTCTTGATCTCTCCCTCCCTCACCCTCGCCCTTGATAAGTGAGCAAGCGGGCAAGAACCAGCAAGCAACCACAGTCGCAGCAGCAGCGGCGCGCCCCATGTCGTCGGGGGACTTCCACTTCCACGACGAGCTGGCGTCGCTGTTCGCGCAGCGGCCGTCGCCGGGAGAGATGATGACGCAGCAGCAGCAGGCGCCGGCGTCGTGGTTCGCGGACTACCTGCACACGGGCGCCCCAGGCATGGGCGGGATGGACTACGACCTGCTGTTCCGCGCGCTGGACCTGCCGCTGCCGGGGGACGACGTCGTCAAGAGGGAGCTGCTGCTGGTGGACACAGGCGGAGGCGGGGGAGGCGGCTTCGCCGCGCCCACGCCCACGCCCACGCCCAGCGGGGGCGGCACGGCGCCGGTCACGCCCAACACGACGTCGTCCATGTCCTCCTCGTCCAGCGAGGCGGCGGGCGGCGCCGCCGGAGGAGGAGGAGGAAGCTTTGGTGCTGGGGAGGAGGACTCGCCGCATCGGGGGAGGTGCAAGAAGGAGGAAGGGGATGGGGAGGAGGACGCTGACAAGAGCAAGAAAGGGTGAGTAGCCTGACCCTGGAATTCTTCTTGAGATTATACTACTAGCTACATCGACCAAATCCTGTGCTATTTCCTTTCCTTTTTTTCAACTTCTTGATAGATCTTTCCGCTAATCATCGGTTTTCATTCTGTGTCTTGGATTCTGCTTCCTTCCATTCCCTGCTGGTCAATCAGTCATTCATTCCTCTTCTGTTCCTTGTTCGGTTGTTCCTTCTTCTCTTTGTTCTTCTTTTGTTTTTTTAAATAAATAAGGTAGCGGCAAGGCAAAGGTGTGAACTTGGGCTAGGGTTTCACACTCGCATGTCACAAGAAAACAAACACGGAAAAAGTCGGTCAGTGTATTGTATAGCCTAATCTGCTAGTTGCATCCCCCTCTTTCTCTTCCCCTTTTGCTTTATGGATTTCATGTTCTTCCACTTGGCCATGATTTGCATCCTCAGCTGATTCTATACATGTTTTCTTTTTGTTCCTGGTTGCTCCTTTTACTCTTTTGGTTCACCCCCTTTTACCAAGATCATACCCAAAAAACCCCAAAGATCTCTTGAGAATGGTCCGGCCTAAAAGCTATAGCCCCCCCTTGCAGACCAAGAGATATTCCTCCCCTCTCTATAGGTATTTGTTACAGCTCCCTTTCTGATGCAATCTAGCATATGGCACAATTTTGGTAGAAATCTGCCGGCAGAGCAGAAAAGGGGTGTGCACACACAGCACAGAACGCAGTGTGAACCTGTTAAAACCATGTGTGTGCTTACTCTAGTCTAGCTGATTCGCACACCCAGCCAACCACCACCGCGCGTTTGAACGGGATCCAGGCCAGGCCAGCCGGCCGGCCACGCACCTCGCGCTCGCAATCGCGTATCGTATCTTAGTTTGAACGAAATCCGCATCACTTTCCGCTGACCCGGCTAGCTGGTGGACGTACGGGAGGAGCTGATGAGATCGATGCCCACGCCGGCTCTTGAATTGTTGCAGGTCAGCAGCGGCGGGGAAGGGCAAGGGCAAGGGCGAGAAGCGGCAGCGGCTGCCGCGCTTCGCCTTCATGACCAAGAGCGAGGTCGACCACCTCGAGGACGGCTACCGGTGGCGCAAGTACGGCCAGAAGGCCGTCAAGAACAGCCCATACCCCAGGTTACTCCTACGCATACATGCATACATACATACATACATGCACAGCACGTATATACAGATACAGTTACCCTACTGCACTGCACGCACCTCTCTCCGATCCTTACTCCATGTCTGCATGAGCTAATGGTGGAGGGTGCAACCGTGTGATGGCGGCGCATGCAGGAGCTACTACCGGTGCACGACGCAGAAGTGCCCCGTGAAGAAGCGGGTGGAGCGGTCGTACCAGGACCCGGCGGTGGTGATCACCACGTACGAGGGCAAGCACACGCACCCCATCCCGGCCACGCTCCGTGGCAGCACCCACCTCCTCGCCGCGCAGTTGCACGGCGGTCACCACCACCTCGGCGCCTTCCCGCCGCCGCCCCCGCTCCCGCAGATGGGCGCGCCGTTCGGGCGGGCAGGCGGCGGCGGCGGAGGAGGAGGCGTCGTCGACATGCTGGGGCTCCTGCCTCCGCGCAACAACCACGCCATGCCGCCGGCGATAGGCCTCGCGTCGTCCCGCGGCATGAGCGGCGGTCCGATGAGCGCCGTGGCAGCAGGCGCGACGACGACGGCCGCCACCACCGCCACCACTACCTCGTCGTCTCCTCCCTCGCTCCAGATGCAGCACTTCATGGCGCAGGACTTTGGGCTCCTGCAGGACATGCTGCCGTCCTTCGTCCACAACAATGGCGGCAACATCCAGCTCTGAATTCGATCAATTGGTCATCACCACCACCACAAGCAGCAAGCTAATGAGGAAGGAAGCTACCCTACCTAGATAAGAGATAGTACTTAATTTGGTTCTTGTTGATGGTTAACCTCTTTGATTTTTCGTTTTTCACCGATTTGCTCCTCTAGATGGATCATATCGGTTCTTGATTTGTTTTTCCTACTGCCGTGCTGCGAGACACATGCCGCTACAGAGTTTTCTGGCGCCGGGTCTCGTACCGTTTCTTATGATGATGATCTAGTAGCTAGTCCTTGCTAGCGGTTCTTGTACATGTACCTAATCAACCGACCCCCCAGCTCATGCATTGCACCCTATCTGCTGCAGTACTGGCCATGAGCTATGATAATTTTATGCTAGCTCCTCTTTGCACGCACTCCTCCTGTCCATCTCCATTAATACAACACTACTATATCTGTGCACATGTTTGGCCAGCAGCCTCCTTGCATTGCTCCAACCAGAGGGCCATGCATGGAGGAACCGAATTAATTTTCATTTTTTTCTTCAAAATTGCTTCTGCTGGGTGATATGTCCTTATTAATCTCTTCTTGATATGATGGCAGCAAGAGATGATGCACTGATAGATGCATGGATCGATCGTTCCACGCACCATGTATGTGTTTGCTAGCTAATAGCCTATTGTCATGCGTGATGGGGCTGTTCGTGTGTGGTTGGTACAAAGAGTTGTTATGGAAAAGCAGTGGGCGTCATTTTGCTCCTTGTTTTCGTGCATGCACGTACTATAGCGTGGCCTGGTCAGGTCGTTCCAAGAGCTATTACTAGTACTGACAGTGATGTGAACCTGCCTACCTAGAAGTAGAACTAATGTCCGTGTGTGGAGCGTATATATGATTGATTTTGATCAAGGATTTGGACGGGCATGCACGCGTACATTTCAACAAGTTAGCGCGCGCGGTGCGCCAGATCGAGATCGACCGACGGTCAATGTGTTTTGCCAGAATTATCGCTAAAATAGTGAGAGAACTGGAGGTTGCAGCTAGAGAAACACCTAATTTTGAACATGGATCGGATGCTTGGAGAATAATAGAGATGTTTATTTGGGGTTTTATTTGGACCCTATATTTTCCTTACTGTTCCATGATGTGCCACTACTCATGCTCACACAAGTTGTGTATATATATGATATAAATTAAAGCAGGTTCGTCGATCATCTGAATTATATATCATAAGGGAATTGCACCGGTCAAACATTCAGCATGAAATATGACGACATAGATTTTGGGTGTACATGGAGTGGGTCAAACAGGTTTATCAGCTGGGAAGCACATCCATTTTTCCTTAACATTGACTTCGTCCATACCTGTCATCCCTTATAATAAATACAATAGCTTTATCAGCTGGGAAGCAAATAAAACTATTTATATCAATCTCAGCAACATAAAATCGAAACGCCTAGAGACATAATCTTGAAGTTGTAGGTTTTATGAATACAGCACTGCGATAGAAACTAGCTATCTAATAGCGTCTAATAAATTTCTAACAGTGTGAATGCAAAAACATAGTGCCGTATTATATTAACAAAAAAAAGTTCAAAAATATTCAAGCTGATCCATTGCTTAATTTGCTCTCCTCTAGCCGCAAGAGGACAAAGAGATTGTGATATCTAACACACCAATTTTTTATTATAGGAGTATCTAATTCCCCTGCTGGATAAATGTACTTCGTCAAACTAGCAGTCTTGGAGATCAGAGTAGCATAAACACACATGTGACAGAATTCAGCTTTCTTTAATTAAAAGTCATCCTCTCCTGATCGAGAGCAAATCTACTTTGGTGACCATACCATTAATTGGTGCTAGGCAAAAGCTCTCTAGATGCCCCTTGCCCAGTGCATGCATGCGATTGTACTTTCAGAGAGACTGGAACTCGTCAAGCAGGACAATTATTATGCTTATGCATCTCTAGCTGCCTTGTTTTACCAGGTAGCAGCACTCATCAGGGATCTGATGGATCATTCATCGATCAACCTTGACATATTCATGATATTCTCGTCGAGTGGAGTATCTTTATTAAGCTAATTGTGCTGCATGCCTGCATGTAGCTTTATGCCTTTTGGCTCGTTCAATTCCTTCCAATTCGTACACACCTTTTGTACTGGCGGTCCGAGCTAGAGCGCAATTAACAGCAACTTATCTTAATTGTCGGAGATATCCATCTACATGGGATAGTACACTGTTCCTGCTTTATCTGAATGGTGCATATATATGCTGTACAGACTACAGAGCCTGCACAATTATTTTGGATCCTGTATACTAGCTACTATGAACAGAGAGATCACAATAATGTAATAATGTATCCTTCTTTTGCTTCCAAGAGTCATCTACCGGGGTTGTAATTATAACTAGATGGATGACTTTTTTTTTTGGTCTATCTCAGCCATTTACCTCTGTGTTGGAAGGAATTACAGGAGTGACGGTGTGGCGGTGATAGATGGGGAAAGCTGGCCGTGCGAGATAAGAGATGGACGATGATGAGCGACATGGTTGGAAGTCCGGGGACGCAAGCAACATGGCCAATAGCTAGCGCTGCTGCTGATGATAGCTACCGGGACCGGACTACTAGAAGGTCAAAAGCATTAAAAGCCACAGCGCAAGGTGTGCACCAACTTGCATCCTCGCTCGCTGATGATGCTGCCCAGCCCATCGAGCGAGCTACCGTACGTTTGCGTCTCTTTTCCTCCGGCACACAAACAAAAAGAATACTCTCTGTCGAAGACCCGTGTTCAAAGTCCACTCGGTTACATTCATACTACGTACGTGTACGTCAAGGCAACAACAACAATAATAATAAAAGGAAATGTTCTCGATTATTGAAACCACGCACATCTTTGTTTTGCGAGGAAGCATGCATGTGCACTCGTACATATTTTGTTGAACACTTCTCTCTTTTTTAAATGATACTCCATCCGTTCCAAATTAAAAGTCGTTTCTTTTGACTTTTAATTTGGAACGGAGGGAGTACGATATTTAACTCGTTGGGACTAAAAGTTAAGTTTTTTTTGTGTCCATAATAATGGCTATTAGCTTGCCAGTAAATTCGGCTTACAGCTTCACAATTCCTCTCCTGTTCTGCACAGGCGAGCCTAGCTAACCTGGACATCAGTACATGTTCAGTACTATACTTATTCCCATGGACGCACATCAGTTGAGAATCTTGTAGGGCATACAAGTAACAGCACTATCAATTCGGAACTAGTATCCGTGGCAAGCAGCTTGAGATAATTCTATCTATTATTATTCATTAATAAAGGAAAGATAAGTTTGAGGTCGATCGTCCTTAACACCGACGGTGGCTGCCGTCGCGTCGACCATTAATTAGCAGGCAAGCTGCAACAAAACAGCAGGTCGGCCCATGACTTTGAACGCAAGCCACGGAGGTCAAGCCCACCGCTATAACTCCTGAAGGGCACCAGCAATCCGCTCGTGCACGTCCGAGACGAGCTCTTCTGAGCCCTCCTCTGCCTGCCCTGCCTCCTTAGCCATCCATCGTCGGCAGATGCCATGCGTGGAAACTTGACCCGGCCGGCGGGTTTGGTGGTTAGATTTGATTCAGTTTGGTACAGCTTATAAACTACTTATGGCCAAAATAAGCTGAAATCAACAGCTAAACGTTACGCTTTTTCAGCAGCTTATTCTGACCACACTTATTCCCACGGCTCTCATTTATACTTAAAAAGCGGAAGCTGAATCAGACCAGCTTATTTTGATCACCGCTTTTAAGGGAGTCACAGCACTGCCACGGCCCCGAGACCAAGAGGGTCGCAGCCACACGCAGAGAAAGCTGCATGCGTTTGCGTACCCCCTCTAGGCTCTAGCTACGGTCAAGTATGTATGCCACGCCTGTCACGCGCATGGCCCATACATACACCAGCAGCCTCGCGCGCGTACACGACCTGACCTGACCTGACCTGTGCTAGCTACGCTAAGCTTAGCTGCGCCTACACGGCTACACGTATCCGTCGTGGCCACGGGTTCCATAAAATAGATATCGGTGTGACATGACCCCGGCAATTAACAAATCAATCAAGCCGATGATGGTGTTCGGAGGAAGCTGTGGATTGCCAAGCCACCCGCCACAGCGACGTCGACGATCGCCTGCCTGCTGTGGCTGCGGCCCGTTCAGCGCACCGGTCGGTCGTGTCGTCGTCGATCGATCGGGGCTGGGAGGAAGAGACTAGAGGAGCATTTAGCCTTGCGAATGACTCAAAGTGGTCGCCGCCGCGGCATCCGAGGCCTGTAGCGGCGCGGCGGGGCAGCGGTACCCGTCCGGGGCTTAATTGCGCGTGCCCGTACGATGGCTCCGTCACAACAGTCGCCCGATTTAATCCAGGCAACCCGTATCCGATTTCCCCGTCCGATCAAATGTTTCGACAACCGAACAGGGAGCGATCGCCGGCGATCGGACGTTTCGGATGGGTGAGCACGGCACCAGCGGAGCGTCAGATCCTGGGGATTCTGGTGACGACGTGCCGAGCGACGAATCGAGCCGGCCGTGCGCTGTGCTCCCTTGGGCAGCGACAGGGGAGTCGGACGACTTTTTTTTTTCTTTTTTTCTTTCGCGAGTCAGATTACGCGAACCTGACCGCGCAAACGGTGGTGATCCACGACGGCCGGTGCTGAGTTGCTGACTGCATCGACAGGGACGGGCTAGTTTCTGCGGCAGCGGCAGCGGCAGCGAGTGGACGATGGCCTCGGACGGATTCAGTTCAGATAACGCATTGACTTGCACCAGGGCAAGAAGATCAGCAGAGTTACCGTCCGATAGCTCCGGCCCAGTGTGAAACTGTTTATTGCGTTCACGGAACCGGGGGAGTATATTATATTATTATATATATGTATGTATGTCTACAACGACGGGCGTATGGCCATAAACGCACAAGGCGCCATTTCTTATTTTGTGTGTGGGATTTCATCCGGGCGGCAGCGGAAAATGCGTTTCCGCTTGGAGATCGGAGGGAATGGAGACCATCGCATTATTTGGGGGAGCACGTGAAGGCGTAGCGACACTTGATGGAGGATCCCACGAATTCCGCGTACCCTGCAATCATAAATAATAAAGAAATGATGGTTAGATTTTGAGGTGGAAAACGACGTCTCACTAACCCTCCTGCACGAGCAGTGTTTCCCAACAAATGGATACTGAAACTGACAGGATCCCATGCACAGAATTCACTCTCAGGGTGCAGAATTTTGCCCGGTTTAATGAGGTCGCCAACAGCAAGATTCAGGGCGTGAAGGGCGTGGGAATTGCGTGAAAATAGTACTACAGCTATGACTCAGCAGGAAACACTATAAGCCTAACAAGTGTTTCCATTTCTAAAAAAAAAAGTATAGGGACTTAAAAAGCACTAGTACTGTTTTCTCCTGTTTTCCTATATATACCACCATCACACTACAAGCTTCCAAATGTACACCAGACCAGAGAATGAGATGGCAAGGAGTACCAAGGTGCTCACACTATCGCCGATGAATGAAGCCAACTTTGAACGATCAACGCATTCCGCGGTTATTCGACTTTCTCAGATTCCAGAAGCTTCATCACTGATTTTCTGTCAGGCATGCTGGGTATAGCCCCCTTTACTCGAACACACAAAGAGGCAGCAGCAGCTGGAATTCAAGAAAGTAGAAGCCATCAAATCAAAATGTAAGGAAACCAATTAATCAAATATTGAAGATGACGTGATTTCGTACCAGCAAATCTCATGCACTCCTTCTTAGGCTTCCCCTCAACCAGAGCTACAGCAAAAGCTGAGGTGAAAGTGTCACCAGCCCCCGTGGTATCAATAACTTCTGTGGCAGGAATTATCGGCTGTCTGATTGGCTCCTCTCCCTCAACAAACAAAGCAGATCCTTGTGATCCAAGTTTAACTAATACTTCTTTCACACCCTGCACAAGGAAAAGATTAAGGGATGTCTTAATCTTCTTAAAGCAATCACGGGTTCTGCAGGTGAACATAATCCCTGTAAAAACTTATGATCGTGACAGAATGCTTAAAGCAAAAAAAAGGGGGGTACACCTATGGAGTCATGAAGAGAATTGATTTAAACCAGTTACACTAAAACAATGAACAGGAAAGCATTTGGTTGAATAACCAAATCCACAAATGGCATATTAAAGTGGAAAGACTAAAACCATTGAAACTAGGTACTTAATGACAACAACAGGTCACGAGAGTACAAGCGGCAACCTTTGAACTACACTGTTTACCATATATCTGATTGTATGCACATCAGATGCGAATCATTCTATTTACACAGCAGATCAGACTGGACAATCTCCAGTTATGAATCACATACATTCTGAGTTCCAAATTTGGATACGAAGATCTGGCAATCTCACTATACCCTGCCCATTTTATATGGAAGAAGCCTATATAATGGCAATACTAAGCAAAGCAGGAGTATACATCAAAGCTCTAGGGCCACTTCAAGCACTTGTTGGACAACCTAAAAGATTAGTGGATCTTACTGAATCATGATTGTTTATTATCACTGGGAGCATTATTCCAGGAAATAACTAAAGATATCAAATACAGATTCACAAGGGATCCCTATATATGTTCACAGCCTAACCTTGCAATTTCATTCATCCAGATTACAATTGACACCCTTGCAAACATGCATACAACAAGAACTAAAAAAGAAAGGAGATATGGTACCAGTCTAACTGCATGTACATCAAAATATGCATATAAGGTTAACAAAAGGAGGACCATGTTCCTTATAGATTTATTACCAGATAACATCACTATGCAATATCATTGATGGAATTGCGTCAAACAATAATATCCAAACGCACAATCATGGTTAACCCAAAGCAATGTAGAAGTCAGTTAAATTATAAGCTAAAGCAGAACAAGGAGGAAATATTGTGAACGTTATAACGGAAATCCAATTTAGATATCTCACCATTTTATGGCATTCTCCTGCAGCCTGGCTGATCTGTTCAAACGTCTCAGTAGGCATCCCAGTCAACCGAGCTAGCTCTGTTTCATTTGGACTGAAGATATCCACTAGACTGAGTAGTTCTCCAGGCACAGGGGCATCCATTCCACCAGCGTCCATGATAACAGGCACTCCGGCACTTTTTGCAGCCTAGCAAAAGTTTGATATGTTAATAATGGGTTCCTGCACACTCAGAATACATAAGAGCACAAGGTCTGTGCATTTCCAAGTTAGCAAAGTGTTTGAGCTTCTTACGATAGACACATAATAATCTTATAAATGTACAATAGGAGGATTGGAGTAAAGTGATAGATACCTGATTTAGTCTGTTGATTAGTAACGCAATAATTTTCTCTATGTTAGTGGCTTGTCTCAAAACTCATTTAATCGAATCAATCCAGATTTCAAAAAATGGTGGTATAGAAATGAACCAAAAAATAGACCTAGAACCATTGGGTACCCACTAGCATCCCAATACACTGTATTAAGTTATAGAGAGATGTCAACACAGGGTTTGAATATTCATACAACAGATGATTGATTCAAACAGAGTCCCATGATACTAGTCTTCCTAAAATCACCAAAATATGACTGAAGTACATGTGCAATGTACTCGCTCCGTCCCAAAATAAGCGCAATTGTAGGATTAAAAAAATGTCCCAAAATAAAAGCAACAATTGGTAGTACAGGTAGCTATGAACCCAATGTGCTAGGCTGTACTAGCTAGTAACCTGTCCTGTGTGGGGGACTCAACCATAATAATAATAAAAAAATCAACTTCTCCAGAAGAATCGACTGCACCAGTACACCTTTGCCTTCCCTCACGCTCAGAAGTTCGAGTCTGCTTCTCCTTCCGTGGGTTCCAATCCAGACCCAGATCACCTCCCCGTCCAGCTCCTCTCCAGTGGCCCCTTCCCCATCCAGCGCTCCTCACCCACACGTGGATGGATGGCGGCGCCATGCGCCCAGCACGATGCAGCGGATCTGCCGACCTAGCAGTGTGGTACGTGGAGCCATGGAGTGAAGCTAGGCGGCGGCGGCATAATGCTCGGTGGCGGTGGTAGGAGCTTCAATCGCCTCGTGAAGCCCGTGAAGCCGGCCGGCACTGGGATTCAAAGCCGCAGAAGCTGGATCTGCGTCTGCGAGAGCCACATCAGGTAGGCTGGTCTCTGCATGAACGCCCACTGGTGATGTCTAGCTCGCCGTGGAGCATGGAGCCGGCACCGGAGTGGTCGCGGACGAGCTGCTGGCGTGGAGTCTTTTCTTCATTTTTTTAGTTCAGCATTGAGCTTTTTTTTGTGCGTGGTGCCGATCATATTTTATTTTATTGGGCTGCTCTATGCAATGATTACATGTAGAGGCTGTACATAGGGGTATTTTTGTCATTTCATATCAACCTTGGTTTCTCCTCCTAACTCTAGAATTGCATTTATTTTGGGACAGAGGGAGTATGAGATTGGCTCCATTGTACACATGCATGGAAGCATGCACAGAAGAAATAAAAATTGATACACTTCTGCACCATTGGATCTCTATTCTTGCTGTTGGGCAGACAAAACATATCACTGGATCGAGCACTTCAACAATTGAGATTTTAGAAGATGGCACCATCTAGACATGGGAAGCCCATTAAACACTAATAACAGTAAAATAACTGTCGATGCGGGACCCATAGGGTTCCCCACGGAGAAGAGAGAAGAAAACCTAGTCCAAATAGGATTCTCTAATGTAATCCTACTATGACTAGTTACACATAATCCTACTAAGATCTCTACTTTGTAACCGACTAGGACTCCCGCCTCTCCTGGACTATATAAAGGAGGGCAGGGGTCCCTAGATCGACACCTACACAAGAACACAACAAAAAACCTCTAGATCTCGATAGAGATCAAGAGGACGACATAGCGCAGGGCGCGACATACTATCTACTCCACACTGGACGTAGGGCGCCGTGATTTTCCGGCGTACCGAACCAGTATAAATCGTTGTCTCCCTGCGTTTACCACCGAGTTCCTGCATACGCCGATACCCCTCCGAACAAATCACCGCCCCGGGTACCCCCGTGGCGGGTTGCCGGTGGTAAAACATCGACAGCTGGCGCGCCAGGTAGGGGTTCTCGGCGCTTTGCGTTTGAGAGCTCGGTGGACCTCAAGATCAAAGACTTGTTGTGGCTCTTGTCGGCCCTCATCGACAAGTCGCTGCAGCTCTCGTCGACCCTCAAGATCAACAACATGTTCTCGGCGATAGCCTCGAGCATCCAAAACTCGTACAAGCTATCGTTGGGAACATGTACACCAATGAACTCACCGCATCTCGTTCAATCTCAAGATCTGGCATAGGAGCTTCACCACGTTCATGTACCGGATCATCATGCTCAGATTCCGAACAAACTTCCGTGTCAAACTCGCAGCAGTTCAATTGCCATGATGACAACAACATGGCGTCTCCAGGCATCGTCATCGACTTACGCCTGTACGAGCCAGTGGACAAACTCAGGTTGGATTCGTGGATCGCAGACTTTTATTTGGCACGCGATCGAATTCAAGACGGACGGAACTCAGATCCAAGTCGGCTTGTACTCTCGCGGTGGAATAATAACCGAACTCGAATACGGCAAGGGCCCGATGTGTCTCCATCCGATAAAAAAAGAAGCAAACAAGGACAACATATATATGTATATACATGCACGAACACAGTCAGATATGCTACGCCGGACAACCAGCCCCGAATTCCACCTCAACAAAGTCAACGACAACCGAAGTTCGACTCAACTCAACACCTCGAGGGCTCCTGGACGCAAATTTGGATCAGGAGGACAACTAGGACTACAACAACTCAGACACGAAGACCTCAAAGACGAACGGTACAAAATCAGATCAACTCTCGGACACGGAGGATCGACCAAGAAGCAAGACGACGCATGAGACTACTACCAAAGAAGCAAGCAAGGCCAAAGGCGTTTGTGCACTATTTATGTATGTGTGCACGCACGTACATATCAAGGCTCGTACATGATGCGTACATTCTCGCTGCCAACCAACACGTAACTGTTCTAGGCTGGCCAACAAGCAAGCCATCCGTCGGGAAGCAAGCAGGCCACTACGACAACCCGGTAATAGCGCAACACTCTCCGAGAGTACTCCACGACGGCACGACGGATTCCGGCTACCACTACAACAACCCGCCGACTACCGTGATGCTCGATGACTACCTCGACTACTACTCAGAACCAACAAACTAGTCGGTGACGAGTTCCGGATGCTCGACGTGTTCACAACCAACCTTTCAGACGTGGTATCCAACTACTCGTCCAAGTACCCAAAGAACTTCGGTCAGGCGATCTACCACTCGGCCATGAACCAAGCTAAGTGGACGCTTTAATTTTAAATACATTCGGATATTATTCAGTATGCCTCTGTGGTTATATCATCTTCCCTTAACGGTACGTTAATTTACTCGGATAGTAAGCCTTAATTCGTGAAGCTTGTTTTCTCGAATGGATGGTCACGTCAATGAACCTCTGAACCATACGGATGGTCACGTCAAAGAACCTCTGAACCATACGGAGTGGTCACGTCAATGAACCTCTGAACCATACGCGAGATTCAAGTGCTTAAACATAACAGGTTACTACCCAGAAAATTAACCGACCTAGCAAGGGAAGACACAAAAAATCATCATGCGAGCAAACTTAGTGCTCTACAATCATCATGCGAGCAAACATAGTGCTCTAAGTAAAATCATCATGTGAGCAAACATAGTGCTCTAAGTCTTCTCTTAACGGTCGCTAAAGTCCTCAGGTAGAACATGCCTTAATCCGTGAAGCTTGTCTACTCACATGGACGGTCACGCCAATGAACCTCTCGAACCGAATGCCGTGCTCACATGGTCACGCTCAATGAACCTCGAACCATACGCCAGAGATTCAAGTGCTTAAACGTAACAGACACTACCGAGGAATTTGTATGGCCTAGCAAGAGCAAGACGCGAAAAAAAGTTTATATGCATTTTATGATGCCGGGCCCCATACGATTGATTATTCAAATATGGGACATGCTCCCAACTTCATATCTGAAATGTCATTTACAACATATTTTTATGTTTAACATGCGGGGAGCTACATCTGTACCATGAGATCGGGGAAAACATGCTCCACGAGAGCTAGTCCAGAAACAACTGGTTTGACCAAAAAGAACCCCGACAAGGTGCGGCAAGAACCAAGACAAGCGCTTAGAAAGAACCCAGATCGATCGAAAAACAACCCAAGAAGTCTTTGCAAGTACCAAGACAAATTCAGAAAGAACTCGGATTGATCGAGAAAACAATGCGGATGAGGTACATACAAGTTCGTAAAAAATCTAGACGAAGTGCAAACAACTGAAGAGGTACATCAAGAACTAGAGGTCTAGAAACAACCCGGATGAATCAAAAACAACACGGAAGAACATCACGACTTAGTCAAACGCTAAGCTCTCAGTAGCTCAAAGATACGCTTCAACTACACCCGGGGCTCAATTCAAGGGCGAAAGACCAAGAATACAAGTATTCAAGACTACAACAAACGACAACACATCAAGACCCTTCATCCGATTTCTTTTTGAAAGAAAAGAACTGGGAGAAGGCTCGAAACTCATGGGATACATAACCCCGTAAATTTTTAAGATTAAGAATCTGGACCCTCCAACTTTTGCAAGCAAAAGCAAGAGGCTCGGGGGCTACACTCAGTGAGTGCAATTTTTACGAAAAATTACACCCACCGAAAAAGAACTCGGAGCAACCAAGAAGACTAAAGGGACCCTCTGTCTTTTTGTCCCAACAAGCAAGAGGCTCGGGGGCTACACTCACTGAGTGCACATTTGTCCAAAAGTGCACATCAGCCGAAGAAAGGACAAAGAAGACCATCTCAAGATCTCGCTTCAAGAAAGAACCCGGAACAAGTCTACAACAACCCGGCCCTTGAAGCTCAATCATGAAATGCTAAGGGGCTTGTCGATGCGGGACCCATAGGGTTCCCCACGGAGAAGAGAGAAGAAAACCTAGTCCAAATAGGATTCTCTACATGTAATCCTACTAGGATTTCTACTTTGTAACCGACTAGGACTCCCGCCTCTCCTGGACTATATAAAGGAGGGCAGGGGTCCCTAGATCGACACCTACACAAGAACACAACAAAAAACCTCTAGATCTCGATAGAGATCAAGAGGAGACGACATAGCGCAGGGTGCGACATACTATCTACTCCACACTGGACGTAGGGCGCCGTGATTTTCCGGCGTACCGAACCAGTATAAATCGTTGTCTCCCTGCGTTTACCACCGAGTTCATGCATACGCCGATACCCCTCTGAACAAATCACCGCCCCGGGTACCCCCGTGGTGGGTTGCCGGTGGTAAAACATCGACAATAACATAGATATATGTTTCATCTACGAACAGAGATGCTTGGAGGCTGAAAGTTTCAGAATAGAGTTCGTTTAATGGAGGTGAGTTGTTAGGGTCAGAGGCATTGTTTTCTTCCAATTGTCATGTGGACGCAAATGTTAAACTAATCAACTCTTTTGTTTCCAAGAACCAAAAGGAGATAAATCTCAATTATCATGATTTACAAGGAACAACTGGCTTGTGCATGGCAATGTTTAGACATAGTTGAGCTAGATGGAACTGGGTTTTAGTTTTCAGACAGGAAGCGGATGTCCACTTGGCTAGCTGAGCATGGCAAGGTAACTACAGAGGTCTGCTCTGGTGGTTATCAAGGTGAAGAAAGAAGATTGAGGCCACCCATGACACCATACATTTGAAGACAGTAATGGTAGTAAAGTAACTAATCAAAGACAATGCTGACAATACTGAACCTAGGAATTACCAAATGAACCCACATGTTGGCCCAAATACAGCTTGAATATAATAAGCCCCATATTTCATACACTGATCTATACCACATGATACCGAGTACCCCTCCGTCCCAAAAAGGATGCAACTATGGTATTTGTGCTAATCAAACTAGCTTAACTTTGATCAAGTTTATAGTGAATAGTATTAACATTTATGTCTCCAACTAGATTTAATACGAAAATATATTTCATAATTAATTTAATACTTATTTTCTATCATAAACGTTAGATTTTTATATAACTTTGGTCAACTTCAAATCGTTTCTCTCCTCGAAAAGTGAGAATTGTATCCTTTTGTGGACGGATGGAGTACCAAAGAAGATCACCGTTAAAGTTACTACATCCTCAACCAAAGAGAGACAATGTATTTGGCTGCACTAAATACTTGAATGAGAATGGAGCCCCATCAATGTTGCCAAAATAGCGACAAGCAGTTAGAGGCCACTACGCCAAGCAATAAAAGCTTCAGTGGATCCTCACTCCTTTCTCAAACAAACAGCACCAAGGTAAGCACGAAGCATTAACTTTTTAAACCTCAAAAAATGCAAATAATCGAAAATATAGTTTATGCAATGTCCTGTACTAAATACAGTTTTTTATTTAAGATGTAAAAGAGAACCTTTCTCTTGCTGATGTTGCCCAAAGCACTACGAATCTAGATGCCATTACCAAATTTATTACTTCAATTGACTAAACAGCACCAGTATGCTAGAAGAACCTAGTCAGCCACTATATCTCCCCAAATTTCGAAAACTAAATACTCAAACATCAAATCAAATATTCAAAACATCCAGTAAATTGTTGCTTCATTCTCAAACATAATGTGCCAAGTTACATTACCATATTCAACCTAATTTAGATCAAAATAATCGAACAGTACCTTGTTATAACAAAAAAGAAAAAGAAAATTGTGTGCCAAACCATTCTGAGATAGGTAGAGTAAAAAGCAAACACCTGGGCAGCCTGCGCGTTGACCCAATCGGGTATCTCCCTCTGCAGCAGCAGTACGCCGGCCTTTCGGATCAATTCCAGGTCCTCCGGGCCGATCCCCGCCGCCCAGCCCTCCATGTTCGCCCCGCCCACGATGATGATGGAGTTCTGGCCGTCGGGCATGAGCATGACGACGGCGTGTCCCGATGGCGCATGGGCCGCGCGCGCGACGCGGTCGGTGCGGACACCGCCGGCGTCGGCTAGGGCACCTTCGAGGAGTCGGCCGTTTGCGTCATCGCCGACGCGAGCCACAAGGTAGGTAGGGCCCAGCGCGAGGCGTCCGCCGCAGGCGGCCTGGTTGGCGCCCTTGCCGCCCGCGAGGCTGCGCCCCGCGCGGGCCGCCACAGTCTCGCCGATTAGCGGGAGGCGATCGACCTCGACGTAGATGTCGGCGTTGGCGGAGCCCACGACGACGATGTGGGGCGGCGGCGCATTGGCAGCCGCGGATGCGGAGAGGGAGGTGGGGGTGAGCTTCGAGAAGAAGGTGAGGTGGGCGGGTCTGGGGTTGGAGACCGAGAGGAACGCGGTGGCCGGCGTGAGGCCGGCCGGAGTAAGGCGCACGCGTGCCTGAGCCATCAAAGGGGCTGTGTAGAGTGTCGACAGTCGAGTAGGAAGAACGATCGAGTCAAGGAAAGTCAGACGAGCAGATGCGGATGAGGATTTGGGAAAGAGAAACTTGGAAATTTGAACTTATACGCAACTCCAACGAAACCGTCAAATCACAAACACCCCCCGCGCAACCTACCCTTACCCTTAGTATAGAAATGGGTCTTTGCAACAAGATCCAAGCAGTTTATGTACCTCTAGACAATAGCACACTCCAACCGATCTCATATTCTTCTTACTTTACACTATATTATCATGCGCCCTATTTATCTATCCCACTTGTCACCTTTATGTGACGAGGGAGGAGGACGAGAAACTCCTACGTCTGGGGTTCAGGAGAGAGAATGAGAGTGCCTCATCCATCGAGGCTTGAATAAGGGCTTGGTTAGAGAGGTTTTGATGTATTTGAGCTTTCAAAATATGATGAGGGCTCAAGTAGGAGTTTAGTTAGAGTTGCCATCAACTTCGTCACCGCGGCTCACCATAGCCCCTATCGTGTCACTAGTACTACTACCTGTCTGCTACCAGCGTCTTCGCCGACGCCCACCGGTGGCATTCGGATATGATCTAAGGCCCCGTTCGCTGATCTGAAACTTGGCTGAAACTGATTGGTTGTTGTGAGAGAGAAACACTGTAGCGGCTGAAACTAGCTGGTTGTTGTGAGGAGGAGCAGCCGGCTGGTCAGCCGGACCAGACCAGCGAACGCGCCCTAAATGGTTAGAGGTGGTGAATAGCCTATAAAAATTTTACTACAAACTTCATAAATACTGTGCAAAGGGATTAGTAAAGTAACAAATCCTAATAGTCTACTGGCAGTCTGGCACTAGCTCTACTTTCATCCAAGCAAGCCTCCTAATCAATTCTAGTAGCTTTGTCTTCATTGTAATCACAAGCACCACACATGCCCTTTCCAATGAAGTACTGTCGGGCTGCCAATCGAATGTTTGGCTTCAATGAACTTGCACTCTAAGATCGGTCTTGTGCAGGATGTATCCATGTCCTATATGTTGTAGAGGCTATAGGAAGCATATTTTTCAAGTTCACATCATCATCATCATCATTATCCCTAAGGATATTGAAAGTAACAACATTAGGTAGCATCAAATTCTTATTTATATCGTTATGCAAATATAGGAATGACCACACCTTATATTGAATGGTTGTATCATTAGGTGTCATATCGTCATCATGGCTATAGATGGTCAACTGGGCCACCCGACATGCGCCGGCACGGGCCTATGAAAAGCATGGCCCGCTGCTGACGGCCAAGCCACAGGGGCAGTGCCTAAAAGGGCTACAAACTTGTTGGATGGCCCAGGCACGACATGCTTCGGACCGGGCCATCCCAAAAAGCACAACTGATGTAGCAGGCCATGCCAGCCCGTGTTAATAGCCACATACCTCCACAAACTCTATTCATCTTTCTCATTTCGAAGATCAACCCATCAAGGCAAGTAGGTCAATAATTTTTTTTGTACACACAAGTTACAAAAGATTATAAAGTCAAATAGTAATGGAAAGCTGGAAACATTGAACTTTCAATTTGAACCATAACCAGAAGTCCAGACTACATAACCACAACCACATATTATAGAATCACAACACAGAAGAACCATTACAGGTTACACCAACACTTAGACAAAATACTAAATATTATTGAGCTGTTTAGTGCAATGGCTACCTCATTAAAAACCTTTCTAGGAAAAAACTCACCCTTGTAAGAAACCCCTAGAAAGAAAAATAGAGTACAACCCAGCTCGTAATGTTCAACACTCCAACTTAAGAGTTTTACAAACCAAATTCTTAGACTCACTCCCAAACTCTCAGGTCAGTCTCACTCTCAGACTCTCAGACTCACAGTTGCACTATCTCATTCTCAGTCTCACTTGCATGGCTTTCGTGAGCAATAGAAACATCTTCATCGAGCCACAGATTCATGAATGCTTCTTCAACTTTATTGTTCTCAACATTATGTTGTGCTCTTGCTTCTTACTCCCAATCCTTGATCAATGTCAAGATCTCCACCATCTCAGGTTGCCATAGCTTGTCATTTTTGTGTAGGCTAATCCACTTATCCAAATGCCATAAAAATTTAATGGTAGACTACTTAGCATAATACTGTGCTATGATAATTTTCTAAGATTTTTCTAAGCTATAAAAATAGATGTTGCTATTCAAACCTATTATTAATTAGGGTTTAATCAAATGTTGCTTTATGTATGATTAAGAAATTAGTGGAGCTTTGGTGTATCTTTGAAGCATTTAATGAGATGTGTTGACTTAGCATATTAGTAGTAGAAGAGAATGCAGTAGATGACATGTGCTTGTAGTACATGTTCTTGGATAATGTTGACTACCTTGCATTCAAGCATATCCGTTGTGTTCATTTCATCCGATGCACTTTTTGCATAAGCACTTACGCACATGCATCATATAGGATCGCAAACCGAGAACCCAGTCGTCATACCCGAGGAGCCCGAGGAGCAACTCGAGGTGCATCCACAGGAAGTGACCGAAGCAGACGAGGAGGACGTTGAGGAACTTCCGGAGTGCCCCGATCACCGCCCGAGCTCCTTCGAGAGAGGCAAGCCCCGGAGCATTTTTCTCCCCGGTTTGCAATTATTAATTAAATGCTTTACTTTAATTAATGCATTACGTTCAGGAGTTGTTTGCAACCATTGCTGCATTATACCTTGTCTACCTTTGTTATACTATATCCTTGTTACCCTGGTATCCGTAGTCGAGTCAATGCTTAGCTGGCTTAGACCGGTAGAAGTCGGGTGATTTCCTATCACCTGCGAGCTATAGGTGGTTACCTGGATCTGCTTGGATAACTATGTAGTCATGGTATAACTAAGTGTTAAATGAAGTTGAGACCGGACGGGGACTTACAGAGTTTTGGACTGTAGTGCTTTCCGTCTGTGTCGATTAAGGACCGACCGTTGTTGGGCCTCAGGTCATGTTGAACTCATGCCTTACATTTAGCTGGCCGAATAAAGTACCTTTCGACTACGAAGCTGGGAGATTATTCGGGCCGAGTAGATTGCCCGCAGCGCACTGTGCCGGAGCAGGTGTGGTAGGACATGGGGGCGCAAAGATAAGACCAAAGAGAAGTCGGTCGGCCCCCGGGTACATGTGGTTCCTGGCAAACTCAAGATTCCTGGATAGTTGACTCGGTGACCGATACCTCACTTTAGCGGGTGAGTGAGGTTTGTGTAAGGAATAAATCACCAGCTGGTTAGGAATCGATTTGAATCGCCATCGCTCCTGGATAGTGAGCACTTGACTTGAGTTACTTCATCGTAGTAATAATTATGGACCACTTGGACAGTTATAATGAATATGACATTATGGAAGTTGTTAATGATCATTGGTTATCATTAATTGCTTAATCACATGTTTGCTCTAGTATAGGTGCAAATCTAGTCGACAGGTTAATAATAATTAACTTGACAATAATGCTTTTGGAAAGGTTCTTGAAATGCTAAAAATGCCTCTTTTTGCAAATGAGTCAGCTACCCTACTATAAAGCCCTTCATAATCCTTGGTGTCACTTTATTTTTGGTTATGTCGGGTAAGTCTAGCTGAGTACCTTCTCGTACTCAGGGTTTTATTCCACTTGTTGTAGATGGACAGATGTATTACGGCTACTGTATCAACTGCCTTTATCCTGCGATGGGTGATGCTTAGAACCATGGGCATGGTCATTCCTTACGTCTCGTCTGATGCTTTTGTTGGAGATGATCATTAGCTGGCACTGTATTTGAACTCCGTGTGAGTGTTTGTGGTTTTGAACAAATGGCTTCCGCTACTTCTATTTGAACTCGTTTTGTAATAACTATGTTTAAATTTTGATGTATCTGTGATGCGAACTTTTATGTAATATGTGATGGTGACCGTTAAACTTATTACGATCTTGGCTGGTATGTGAGTTGGTTTGAAATCCTTCGGGATTTCACGGACTACCGGGTTATACGGGCTTAAGTTTGCTAAATCGTCTGCTCTGACGGGTGATTTTCTTACTTAATTTTGTATAATTGGTCGGTTCTGTTACAGCTGGTATCAGAGCATGGTTTAGCGTGTTACTATTCACAAGTGTATTTAAAATAAAAAGGCATTTGAAAAACGTGTTTTCCAAACTAAAAAGTGTGCCATTGGTCATATCCTTTATGCCCAGTTAAGGACTCTAGGTGGCTTAATTAAGTACTGACTTAGGGTTTTTGCATCATATTTCTCTTTCGTTGCTCATACGGCGTGCTATTGTATGAGTGCCACTTGTTTGAGTGGTAGTGTATGGATCATTTGCCTCTACGCCTCGGTAAGTGTGAGTTGTGAGAGCATGATCGGATACACCGCCGATCTAGGGTGAATGCTTATATGATGCTGGAGTAATTACATGTTCTACGCATGTTTTGCAAAGGTATCTCATGTGTGGGTATTCCATCCATTGAGGCAATGCCGTCAATAGGACAATGGTTCGGGTAGTTACTACCGTTGTACACGTATCTGGGAATTCGTGTAGAGCGTGTAGATAAAATTTACTGCTTTTATGCATTCATTGGGAACTGGTCTGGAATGAATCTTCTGCAGGTACATAACAACGTTATCGTGTAGAACGTATTAGATATGTATTTGAGAGATCGTTTGTATGCCATGCATTCCTCCCCTTATAAATTTGTGAGAACGTACGACACGTACATACATCATATTACTTGTGCATTTCATTCATGTCATGCATTCCTCCCCTTATAAATTGATTATCTCATTTTGATAAAAGTTGTATCACCTAAAATATGTTCCCATAGAGTAATAAAAGAAATTTTGCTACAGATGGCCCGCACGAAGCAGACCGCCCGTAAGTCCACCGGAGGAAGAGCACCTCGACGTCCGTTGGCCCTGACGGAGCACCGCACCACGAACACCTTCTTGAGCGAGTTTGGCATGCCGACCTTGCTTTGGAGAGTGCTCCA